GCACGCGCATGCCCCCCCCCCACACATACACACACACACGTATGGGTTGATGTTGACATCATCTTGGAATACCTTCCCACCTTAGTCCTTGAGGCAGGGACCTTAATCAAACCCAGAGCTCTCTGATATGGCTAGTCTTGTTAGCCAGCTTGCTTGCCCTGAGGATCCATCTCCACCTTCTGAGGCTGGAATAACAGGTGGGCTGCCATAGTCACCCAGCATCTAGCTGTGTTTCTGGGGATCCAAAGTCTGGTCCTCACGCCTAAAAGCCTGTACCATTTCCCCAGACCACAAAGACCCTTTGGAGATGCTTCTGCTTTCATGAGAATGAAGACGTAAAGCCAATTGGACAACCTGGTTTACTAAATATATATAAATCTGTTGGTGCTCAGCTTTTTTGTCCCTTAGATCCACCCAGGGGGAGGTGTTAAAAATCCTAATGCCTACATTCCACCTATGATCAGTGAAACCATGGTCCCTTGGGCAAGGACAGCAGCCTAGGATTCCTGAATTTTCTGGATGATTTCAGCACAAAGTCATGATTAGAACCACTGATTTAGACTGTCACGGTAGGTGAGCATGGCACATTCTATATCTGTCCCACCAAGAGAACAGACAAGGCTGAGCCACAGGGTGAATCCATTTGGAGAAGTCAGCTTTCTAGAGTGTTCCATGATTCTTTGTGTTGAACAATCTGTACCTGTTACCAAATAAACCAAAGTCCCAGAGGGACGGGCCCGGAGTAGTTAAAGCTTCTGAGATGGCTCAGCACGTAAAGACACTGGCCTGATGTTTGAGCCCTGGGGCCTACATGGTAGGAAGAGAGAAGCAATTCCTACAAGCTGTCCTCTGACTCCACGTGTGTGCCATGTTCATGCTCTTACACAGACACACACACACACACACACACACACACACACACACACACACACACACACACTAATAACAATAAACAAGTTCTCAGGTGAGCTGGGTTTGGTAACACATGCCTATAATCCCAGCAGCTGAGAGGCTGAGGGAAGAGGATGATCCAAGAGTGAGGACAGCCTGTGTATGGAGTTCAGGAGTGAGGACAGCCTGTGTATGGAGTTCAGGAGTGAAGACAGCCTGTGAATGGAGTTCAGGAGTGAGGACAGCCTGTGTGTGGAGTTCAGGAGAGAGGACAGCCTGCGTATGGAGTTCAAGGCTAGCCTGGAGCAAACAGACAGACAGATAGACAGACAAGCTAGCTGGGCGAGGTGAGAACTGCTACTCCGAATGCTGCCTGCTTTGTTTAGGGGGGAAGCAGAGGCCAGGCTGCCCCCATTAACCTCTTGTCACACTGTCACCCCGAAGCAGCTGTCACAGGAGCGGTCTCCCCTTCAGCAAACTAGGCAGTGCCGATGACTGACTCTCTCCAATCCAGATTTACAGCCTTGGACAAACCACAGAACCTTGCTTTGGCATGGCCCCATCCTCCCCAGCATTAATTAAGGTCTAAATAATTCCCATCAGTTCGTGCGTGAAATCAACAGGCCTCAATTTAAGACAACTTGGCCATTGTGTCTCGGCTGACAGAACCATAGTTTGCAGGTTTACACAAACATACACTTACTCGTTTCTTCTTTAATGAGACTATATTTCTGTCTAGTCATCTTGAAAATGTGTTTTTACTAGGTTTTGGATCACATTTATGACCGAGATGATAACTGATAATAAGATAGCAACATGCACTCCATTCAGCCACTAATCAATGGGATTATTACCAGACTCTTTCAATTTAATTATTGCTTCTTATCAGCATCCATTTCATTAAAAGTTTGGCAGGTAGGGGTGGAAATGGCGCAGATAGATGTGTGAAGAATGGTAGCTGAATGATAAGCCCATAGACACAGAAAAGGCAGAGGTGAACTGAGTTTATTAAATAAAGAGTGAAATACCCACAATGCACTGCTTTCTACACTCCGCCTCCTCTACCCCGGGCCGAACAAAGACATAGGTGAACAAGGCGTGGGCTTATGGCTTTGGCTCTGACCCTGGCTGGATAGAGTTACCTTGTCGTCATTAAAATCAGATAAATACGCCCTTGTGATTTGCAAGCATTTGGGAGCATGAGTGAAATCCACAGCCTTCCTTTTCTTCCTCCTGGAATCAACATTAAAATGCTACTGATATGTAAATTAGAGAAGGGTACAAGGCAAGGGGGGGTGCAGTGGGGTGCAGTGCGGGGGGGGCGGGGGGGGGGAGGGCATAACCAACAAGTGGAGCCTGGACTCTGCTCCAGTGGCCCCACAAGTCACACATGGAGAACTGGCAGTATTCAGGCAGAGGTGAGGGTGGGAAGCCTGACTTGTCAATCTGTGAGGCTCAAGAGACCCCTCTGCCAGCTACACGCAGAGAGCTGATTTGCATGAACTCACAAGGAATGAAGCTCAGAGAAATAGAGAACAAGAAAAAGAATTTGTTTGGAAAGACTATTTTTAAAATTACTTTTGTTATTATTTTGTATTTTGCCTACACGTATGTCTGGGTACCATGTGCATTCCTGGTGCCCAGGAAGGACAGAAGAGGGAGAGTTAAAATTACTTTTGTTATTATTTTGTATTTTGCCCTACACGTATGTCTGGGTACCATGTGCATGCCTAGAGAGTGTCGGATCCCCTGGAACTGGAGTCACAGCCAGTTGCGAGGCATTGAATACAGGTGCTAACAAATGAACTCGGGTCTTCGGCAAGAGTAGCAAGTGCTCTTAACCTCTGAACCGTCCACCTCTCCAACCCCCAAACTCACATTTTTCTCCCAACGGTGCCAGGAGGAGCAGTTCTGGCATCTGGTTTTACTGTGCTTTTCCTGATCTCCTAGAGCTATGTCAACGGTCAGGCTCATTTTAATCCCCAGCGAGCAGCAAGAAGAGCACTGACATGGAGAAGGCCGTGCAGCCATCAGAAACCCCATGTGAGAGCTGGGGAGGAGAAGATGACTCAGTAGGTAAGCTGCTTGCTGTACAAGCCTGAGAACCTGCGTTGGGATCCGTAGCACCATCAAGAAGAGCTGGGCACGATAACCTTCCACTTGCCTGTAATCCCAGTGCTAGTGAAGCCGAGACAGATAGATCCCTGAGGCAGCCTGGCAGAATCAGAGAATGCCAGGTTCAGTGAGAGACGCGTTCTCAAAAAGTAAGGCCGAGAACCATTGAGAAATAGACACAGTGTCGACCTCCGGCCTACACATATACCTCAAGTGGGGAAGAGTACGCCATGCCTCATTAAAAATAGCATACTGTATGATTCAATTTGGGAGGAACTGGTTAAAAAAGTAAATCACTAATGTCTTGTAATGTGAGTCAAAGGGAGATGGGTATTCATCTCTGAATCATGGGATTGCTCTTGGCTTTCCTTTGGGAGCTTTTTTTTTTTCATTGCACATTTTAAGTTTTAAAAACTGTATATTAATTTTCCAATCAGAAAAGGTCACGCTTGCCAAGATTAGCATGCACCATTTGTGACATCGTTTTAGACATTGTGGTTTTGATAAAGCTGGCCAGCAAAGTGCATGGATTTTAGGCTGTGGACAGGGACAGCCCTCTCCATTTCCTTTGTGTTGTGATCACATTGAGGTGATGCTCACTATGAAGCTCCCGAGCCTGAGGGCAGGAGAGTAGCCCAGCTAGTGATATTATTCTTTTTGGAAAGTTCCAGAAACTCTGGAGCAGGCATATGTGGCTGAGACTACCTGTGGGGAGATCAATTGAGTACTCGAATTTTTTTCTGGAAAGGTCAAAGTTTCATGGGTCATGTAACAACAAATCACCTCCGTGGCTTGAGAAGCATTATACATACTGGATGAGTGTGGCTGGATACCAATAAATCTTTATTTATAAAGAAAGTAGTTTGTCAGAGCAGTGGATGTGTACACCTTTAATCCCAGTACTCAGGATCCAGAGGCAAGTGGATCTCTGAGTTCGAGGCCAGCCTGGTCTACAGAGTGAGTTCCAGGACAGCCAGGGCTACAGAGAAACCCTGTCTCAAAAAGAAAAAAGGAAGTAGGAACGTTTGGACTGGGGAGATGGCTTTATGGGTAAAGCACTGACCATACAAGGGTGAGGGCCAGAGTCTGGGTCTCCAGGACTCACATAAATGCTGAACGGATGTGGAAGCCTGAGATCCCCAGAACAAGGGGCTTGCCAGACTAGTCATGCCAGGCAGCTCTGAGTTCACCTGAGAAGAGACGCTGCTGCCTCAATGAATAAGGTGGAGAGGAAGATGATGAATGCCTCAACGAATAAGATAAGATGATCAAGGAAGACATGAGACAACCACCTCAGGTCTCCATCTACACATAATCACACACACCCTTATGTACCCTCATGCACATGGGCACCCATTCACACATGAACACACACACACACACACACACACACACACACACACACACACACACACATACACACCACACACACATTGCAGGAGCATCATCCACACATACCTACGAACAGAAAGTCAAACCAAGCCAAAACAAAGTAAGTTGCCATCACCTGTTGAGTCCAGCTTTCCTGTCAAAATTCAAGAAGCAGACATGACCAAGTATCAGCCGGTCAGAACCTGCTCAGACTATTATAGAAAGCATCCCCCACGCATCTCCCATTCCCAGATTCTGTTCTGGCCATTGCGTTTGGCATACACTTCTCAATGAGTATTGGAATTTGCCTGGAGCTGAGTGTGGTAGCCCAGGCCCTGCAACCCTGGCACTTGAGAGGTGCGGTCAGAAACGGAATCAGAGAAATGAGAGTTTCCATTGTCCTCCCTACTTCTCATGGCGCAGAGAGGCCCGTTGGAGTGACACACAGATTAGAAGAGAGAAAAGCTAGACTACAAGGTAGGCCACGACTAGTCCCAAAGGACCAAGGCCAGAATCTCTCTGAGGTCTGACCAGGGCTGAGCAAGGTACTGTGACCTTTAGAGGCTAAGACTTGAGCGATGCACCGAGTCAGGGGAGTACATGGGGGCAGGGGAGCTACTCACGCTGTCGTTGCTTCCTTTGTTGTCCTCATACTTGGTTTCTATGTGGATGGAGAATTTCGGCAGGAAGGAACACTGGGGAGAAAAAGCAGACTTTGATTAGCAGCGCGGTTCCCTCTCGTCACGTCTTTAGTGTGGCTCAGGGCTGCTTGCCTGACTATTAGGGTGGGAGCACAGGTCTTAACAGCGGATGGTAAGATATGTTATACATTCTGGAGAAGCCACTACCATGAGCACCATTTCTTCCAGAAGTCGAGTAAGCAGTGTTGGGAAAGGCAATGGCCCAGAAGCACATTTCCAAAGGGAAATATGGGCTGTGGATCCTGACACCAGTGACGGAATGCAAGCGCCTGTTACAGAAGCCAACTCCAGGTCTGGAGAGCTCACCTGCTCACCAGGGACCCCACCCTAACCCCTATGTTAATGTGTATACAAAATTAGGGAGGTGGCACAGTACAACCTTGAGATCAGAGATTATTGGTCAGCTAGGTGTATGTGAGCACATGTGTGTGTGGTATGTATGTATAGATATGTGTGTGTGCACGCACATTGTGAGCATGCACAGGAGCATATAGATGCTGATGGTCTCTGTTGGATATAGTTCTCAATTACTTTCCACCTCAATTTTGGGGGTGGGGGGTAGTATGAGACAGGGTCTCTCTATGTGGTGCTGACTGTCCTGGAGCTCACTCTGTAGACCAGGCTGGCCTCAAATTCACAGAGATCCTCCTGCCTCTGCCTCCAAATTGATGGGATTTAAAGGTGTGTGCCACCATGCCTGGCCTTTTTTTAAAGACAGACAGGGTCTCTCACTGAACCCAGTTTGGCTGGGTGAGCTGCAGGTATCTGCTTGCCTCCACATTACCCCTACTGCCAGCACTGAGATGATGACAGGTACCTCCATTCTTGCATTTTATGTGGGTACTGGGGAACTGAGCACACGTCATCATGCTCACATGGCAATCACTTTACCTAATGAGCAAGCTCCTTCGTCTCTAGTTTTGTTTTGTTTTTTGGACACAGGGTTTCTCCGTGTAGCTTTGGAGCCTGTCCTGGAACTCGCTTGTAGCCCAGGCTGGTCTCGAACTCACAGAGACCCGCCTGCCTCTGCCTCCCGAGTGCTGAGATTAAAAAGTGTGCACCACCACTGCCTGGCTGGAATTGTTTTTAATGCATAACTTTAAGGGGTTGGCAAGATGACGCAACAGGAAAGGTACTTGCCTCCCAAGCCTGATGACCTGAGTTCTCACCCTGGAACTCACACAAAAAAGCCAGATGTGATACTGCGAATCGGTATTTCCCAGGCTTTTTACAGCCAATGAGAAGCAGAGGCAAGAATTTCCTGGAAGGCTATGAGTCAGCTAGCCTGGGGTGCACAGCATAGCAAAATCAGCAAGAGAAACCCAGCCTCCAAATAAGGTGGATCACGAAATCCGAATCTCGAAAGTTGTCCTCTTAACCCCTTTCCCAACTTATTACCTACTAGTGACACCACAAGGGATAAAGAAAATGATGCAACTAAAAATACGCTATCAAGAGGCTGGGGTCAAAGCTCCACGGTGGAGCACGTGCTTAGCATGTGTAAGATCTTGCGTTTGATCTCCAGAACTGAAACATGCATGTGGAACTGAGTAACAAGCCATCAGTGAACAGCCGTGGTCAGCATGAGGCTGCCAGAGGCCTGACCAATACACAGGGGCCAGAGACCTTATCTGCAAGGCTGCCGGAGTGTCCCTGTCTCACCAAGGCCCCACTGTGTCTCAGATTCGAAAGGTCAGGCAGCCTGAGAAGAGGATGTTGACGGATGTGGGTGTATCTGGCCTCCTCCTAGCACGGAGCTGGGCATTATCTTTCTTGGACATCAGAGATGGGATTGACGGCTGATAGTTAAAATGACCCAGTGATTTCACTGGGACCTGCAGGTATTGTAGGTCCAAGAGACATGGCTTGCTCTGTTCTCTGCCACGGGCATTTTCTGAATGTTTCCAAGTTCTTGAATGTTTGCAAAATTCCCCAAGGGGTAAATGCTAATATTATCATCCCTCCTTTCAAGATGAGGAATGGAGTCGTAGAGAGGTTAAGTAAATGGCCTACAACCACAGGGCTGGTGTGTTACAGCATCCGTGCTGAAAGCTATGTAGCCTGGTTCCAGCGTCCATGAGCTTGACCACTACTATCCCCAGTGGTTCTCTAAGGATGTCTAGGCTGGTGACAACCGCAGCGCTCTAGAATTTTGCTTAGAAACATAATGCCTAGGTGTCCACTCTGGAGCAACTGATTCCAAAAGCCTGGAGGCGGGTCCAGCACTGTAAGTGGCACAAACCCTTCAGGGGCATGCTGTGGCATGCCAGGGGGCACCTGGCTTACTACCCCATTCATGGGAAGGGAACGGAAAGAGGACAGCAGCTGAAGTCCCATCACCTTCTAATCCACCTGCACCTCACAGGCTTTCCCTCTGATCTAACTACACTCCCCTTTCAGCCCAGCTGAGACCATGGGGACGTCTGTATAAGAAGGGCAGAGGACGTGCCATGACTAATTTCCCCGACACCACCATGCTTGCGTGCACCTGGCATCTACCTGTTTTAATCTCAGGGAAGCAATTGGAGCCGTGACTAAGGAACCATGAGACAACCGATCCCAGTTATTGCCTCAATGGAGAACCGAGGTGCCGCGGTGATTTATTAACACATTCCTGGCTGTCTCCTGCCCAACCTCTCACTCGGTAACCACTGCCCTCACACCCATTTCCAGGGACTTCCAGGGAGGAGGGACGCTCATCATGAGTCAGGACTCTGGCACCCCTGCGGCCCCTGGCAGAACCTTGATCGACTCATGAGCATGGGAGATGTCCTTGCAAAGAGACCCTCTTGAAGATAACAAGCCTTAGGGAAATCAATATTTGTACTTCCAAATCTGTGATTCATCTGAGGGTCAGTCCAACGAGGAGTGAGAGGAGGAGGCAAAGCAGGGTGGGAATAGGTCCGTGGTATCAAGTGAAAACTACAAGGCGCGTGCGTGCGTGCGTGCGTGCGTGCGTGCGTGCGTGCGTGCGTGCGTGCGTGCGCGCGCGCATCCTGAGTTTTTCTTCCTCTACCACGAAGTCACTTGTTCAACCTGAAGCTCGCTGAGCAGGCTAGGTTGGGCGGCCTGAGAGCCCCAAGGATTTCTCCCGTCGGTTCACTAGTTCACTGGCGCACCAACATGTCCAGCTTGTGACGATCCAAACTCAGGTCCTCATGTCGGCACTCAACCAACCAGGTTCTCTCCCCAGCCTGTGGCTCCCCACCCCCACCCACAAGCTGCTCTTCTAAACCACTTATCTAGGTCAAGCTAATAAATCCAAGCATTTGGGTTTCAAACCCAAACATGAAATGCAAAAAACTTGCATGCAAATTCACAGGTGTTGTTATTGAGTGGAGGATGGAGGTTATTTTCCTATCAGGACGGCAACCCTGACTGCAGTATGGCTGCAGGTTGCACCTGCCCTCGGCCAGGCAGGATGAGGACCAAAGGAGCCCTGTCCTGGTTTGGGAGTGTTTCTTGAGGGGGGGGGTAGGTGAGGTGGGGCTGATAATCCCTCTGGGTCATCTGATGGCTCCTTTCTGGAGGTGCTGGCATTCGAGAGTGTGTCAGGGTGAAATCAGAGGTTTTGGTCCAGTCAAATGGATCAGTGTGGAAGGGTGCATGCTGCCAAGCCTGACAGTATGAGTTCAACCTCCAGAAACCCAGACAGTAAAAGAAAGAACTGACTCCTACAAATTGTCTTCTGACCTCTACAGGTGTGCCATGACATGTGTATGCACACACACACCACACACTCTCCACACTGAATGTAAAGAAAAGCAGAAGCTTTATGGTTCTAGCTGTAGAATTGTTGTTAAACTCTTGGGTGAGATGTTCATCTTTAACAGTGTTTCGAGACTTTATTTGTTTTTATTTTATGTGTATGGGTTTTTGCCTGCATGTATGTCTGTGTACCACATGTATATAGTATCTGTGGGGGGCCAAAAGAGGGCATCAGATGCCTGGGGACTAGAGCTACAATGATTGTTGGCCATCATGGCGGGTGCTGGGAATTGAAACCCTGGTCCTCTGGAAGGGCTTACCAAGTGCTCTTAACCAGTGAGCCATTTCTCAAGTACAAAAATGTTTAAGATTAGCACCTGGGGCGGGGCAGTCAGTCAGTCAAAACGGCCAGCTCCAGGTCTCAAGAATAAGGTGGTCAGGGATGATGGAAGACAGTCAAATGTCAATCTCTGGCCTCTACTCACACAGCGCACACACATACATAAATGAATAAAATGCTTGTCCCTCACAGGTCAGTGTTTTGTAGAGGTCCAGCAAATTTTGTAGGAGTTTGTTCTCTCTTTCTGCCATGTGGGTTTTGGGGGGGGTTTGAACTCGGGTTGTCAGGGTCTTGGTGGAAAGCACCTTTTACCCCACCGAGCCATTTTTGCTGGTCCAAATCTCACAATTTTGACTCACAGTTTGATGAGGACAGAGATCTCATGACAGAAACACTGACGATTTCCTTCCGTCTATTGCCAATCTTTCAGTTATTTATCTTTGCTTCTTATTCTTCAAGAATCAGAGAATGGACGTCACACTCTCTGTTTCCCCACCGAGAAATGCCACAGTGAAAAGAACGGCCGTGCTTGTCAGGGACTTGGACTCAAAAGGGAAACATCTTGACTTTGCCATCCCCAGCCTCATTTCCAGAAAGGGGACAATCCTTCTCCACTCTGTAGGCATGCTCAGAAAATCAATGATTGTACAAGCAACCTCTAGCCCAGTTCCTGGCAAATACAAGCTGTATGGGTAATAAAAAGACATTTATACATGTCTTTCCCTAGAATCTTGTTTAATGGATTATCTTCTCCTTGACTCATCATGGCCCCAAAACACAAGAAATGTTTTATTCGTGTGCATGGTGTGTGGATGTGGGTGTGGTGTGGTGTATATGTGTGTGTGGGGGTGTGGGGTGTGTGTGTGTGTGTGTGTGTGTGTGTGTGTGTGTGTGTGTGTACACTTGTGTGCACACAGGGGCCAGAGGACGGTGTCTTGTTTCCTTT